GTTTCGACCCGAATTTTTTTTTGGACATTTGGCCCAAATTAATAAAGTCGTATCGATTTATATCGATATTTTTAAGGATACGAACGGATACGTATCGTATCGTAGGATACATATCAACGTATCGAATGGTTTAGGATACACTCTCTGATACGTATCGTTGGCGACCTGTATCGAATCGTATCGTATGATACGTATCGGGTATCGTAGGATACTAACAACCATGACATGGATGACGAAAGTGAATGCCTTGTTGAGAAAAATAAGTGGCCAGAGGTCTAAATTCACCACCCCAATCAAACTGAAAAACTTTAACTTTCTTGTCAAATTGTTGTTCCACAAGCTTAATGAAAAGAGTGACAGTGGCAGAAACTTCAGATTTAAATTTTAGAGGATAAATCCAGGTGTATCTGGTATAATCATCCACAAATAGTAGATAGTATCTAAAACCAGTAGCTGAAACAATTAGAGCTGGTCCCCAAACATCTGCAAACACCAACTCAAAGGGTTCAAGAGATTTAGAAGTGGTTGACGGCTGGACTAAGAGATGAAGTTTTTCATACTGACAAGCTTCACAAAAGTGAATTTTATTTATATCAGCATGATGCTTTACATTCATGTTGTTCACAATGGTTTTAAGAACAGAAGCATGAGGGTGGCCTAATCTTCTATGCCATAACAGCACAGTATCGTCACTCAGTTTAGCTAGAGCAATTTCTGCCAGTTTGGTGACGTTATTTCCAGATTGAAACTTGACTGAAGCACACGAGGTAACATGCAGAGACGGTTGAGGAATCATTTCAGTGGACTGACAAGGAAATGTCTTGACAAGGCTGTGCAAAGAGTCACCTGCTACTTTATTTTCAGTTCTCCCGACGATTGGTATTATAAACTGGTACAAGCCTTTATTCAGAACTCCTTGAAGCAGAGTTTTCTGTGACAGCTTGTCCTTAATAATACATCCATCAACAAAGAACTCAACAACAACGTTATTGTCTTTTGTAATTTTAGAGATACTGAGTAAATTTTTTTGTTACATTGGGTACACAGAGTATATTCCGAAGATAAATGGATTTGTTCAGATAATTTGAGGGAAGAGTGGTCATACCTGTGTGTGAGATTTCAAGGTTTTGTCCATTTCCAACTTGTAAAGTTTCTAGACCATTATACTGACTTTTGAGAGATAGATTCTGTAGATCAGGAGTGATATGGTGAGTTACTCTTGAGTCAATGAACCAATTCGGATCCATGACTGTAAGAGGAGTAGCCATTTGTGAAAAATTTCCATTCTAATGGTTATCAAAAACTATTTCAATACCACGTGTGGCTGAACTTGAAGGTTGTCGCTGTTGAGAGTTGAAGGCATTTGGCTGATACTTCAGTGCTAGAGAATGATTACTTATAGTGTTCATGGGAACCAAGGAAGATTGGTTCGTATAGTAAGGTGCAGAGCATCTGTTAGCAAAGTAAGCTTGTGCAAGAGAAAGAATTGGTGCAGATTGATACCTATGATTTTGAGTACCTTGAAAATTTGTATCAAATCTGTGATAGCATTGGTGTGCCATGTGTCCAGTTTTCCCACATAGTTGACATATCATTCTTGGTTTATAAAAATTTCTACATCTGCCACGACCGCTTCCAAAGCTTCCAGTAGTTTGATGCATGTCCTGATCACTTGAATAGACATTATGTGATTCTATCTGTCCTTGAGTTTGTCCATACACAGGTTGGTTTGGTTGATGAGCTATTGCATTTGAGTTTTGTTGATGTGGCTGAGAGTTCATAGTCTGTTTATTTGCAAGAAAGACTGCTGCTTCATGAAAACCTACATATGCTGAGTGTTGTTTCTCTAACCTCATCTCATGCTTGTGTAATAGGAACTGCGCTTCTTGAAGAGAAACATCTCCACTTCGTGAGGTTAAATTTGCTACAACTGCATCATACTCGGTTCCCAGGCCATCAAGAATGTACATAAGTAACTCTTCATCATTAAAAACTACTCCACTGGCAATTAAAGATCCAGCAACTTCTTTCATTTTCAGTACATAGTCATTGATGCTCAAATTTTCTTTTCTGGTTGTTTGTAGAAGATTTCGCAGATGCAGTATTCTAGCTTTCGAATCAGTAAGAAAATGCATTTCTAAAGTTTTCCAAACATCAAAACTTGTTTCACAATTTGCTACATGCCTAAACATTGTTTCAGAAATGGAAGATATCAACCAGCCTAACAGAAATTGATCTAATTTTTTCCAGATGGTATACTCTGTGTTAATAGCTTTTCCAGAGTTATCATTTTGAGAGATTAAGTAAGGTGAAGGACACACTTTATCACCTGCAACAAAACCTTCCAGTTCATAGGCTTTCAATGCAGGGAGTACTTGTGACTTCTAGTAGGCATAGTTCTTCTCTCCTAGTTTCACGGTGATGGTTGGTAGAGCATTTGCCAGAGGAAAAGATGATACTGAGCTTGAGATCTTTCCATGTTGATGTAAGTTGATGCAGAGGAATTAGGATCAGCCATTGACATTTGTCAATTAAGGCTCTGATACCATAAAAACGTACAAAAGAAAAAAGGAAGAAAAGACAGAGTATAAAGAATTTGAAATAGAGAGTAAAGGAATCAGTACTGAAGCATTTATTTCTTACTGATTTTTCTTAATCACAATCTAACTTTTACATTCACAATTTATAACAAAAGCAGGTCACGTGCTGCCTCATTTCTCTGGAATCCCAGCCGCACATTCTATGTTACACAGGTTTACTCTAACCATTGGATTGTTTACATTGATGCAAGTTGCATGGCCACTTGTCAACTTGCATAACTAAAGAATAACAACCCATGCCACTTACATAACAAACAAGTAACAACCTTGCCAACTTGCACAAAAATATTAGCTACAACTTGTCAATTCGTTAAACTGAAAATGATCCACTTGCAGTTTATTGAGAGAGAAATGCAGAAAGTGCCGATATTCAGGAACTGAAAACTTTAGCTGCTTGAGCTGAAGCTTGCTGTAGTTTACACCTATGAATGGACGTAGTTTAGCAGCCCACCGCAGGTCAATCACTCAGCTCAAATGGGGCTGGCTCTGATACCATGTTAGATTAGCTAAAATGGAGCAAGAACTTAGCTAAACAATCAAGAAATGAAGCAAAAAGGGATTTGAATTCTGTTTCAGAGAGAAAAGAATTCTGTTGCTTTTCTTAACTGAATTAGTAAAGTTACAACTGAGTTTTTATACTGACTCTTAACACTCCTGAAACGTCATCGTTTCTGATGACTTACAAATGTGCTTTTACAATGCAACCCTCATATTTTACAATCTTGCACTCTGGTCCTGTTTACTTCTTTAAGCAATGCAATCAACACTCTGCCTCAATTCGAACTAAGTAAATTAGCTAACATTCCCCCTAAAACTGGACCTGATGAGTTAACTAACAGCCCTGATAGTAAAAGAGTATTGAGTATGAGAGTGAGTGAGAAAGGTGTTTTTGTAACAATTAGAAGTTACATTAATACTCTAGGGTCTGTTTTGTAAAAGATTAAGACTTGATTGTCATATGGTGGCATTTTGTTCATCTTATATCTGCTATATAAATGCAACATTCTTCTGTTTTTAAGTGTTGTTAATCAGTTAATAAAATTTTTATTTTCTTCAATTCTTCAGCTCAATTTACTTCTCTCTCGAACATTTTTCTATTTTTTATTTTTCTTTCAAGTTCGCTCTAGAATCTTCATGGTATCAGAGCTTTAGACAAACATCAATGGCTCAATTGAATCCTGGATTTTCTAATATCTCTTCAAAGTCAGAAATGGAGCAAGCTGGATGTGCCAACGCAAACAATTCAACTATGCATGCAACAATTCCCACAATTTCAGTAAAGCTCGTTGAAAGAAATTACAGTCACTGGAAATCTCAAATCCTTCCAGCTCTAGCATCCTATGAACTTGATGGTTTCATTACAGTGAGAATATTTGTCCACCTATGTTTCAAGTTAGAAAGTCTACTGAATCTGAGGAATTGTTAAAAGAACCAAACCCTAAATATTTCAATTGGAAAAAGACAGACCAGTTCTTAGTAAGCTGGCTTTTATTGTTGATTTCTAGGTCCATGTTTAGACATTTTGCTAAGTATACTAGCTCTTATGAAATATGGAACACCTTGGAGTTACATTTTCAGTCCTATTCTAAAGCTAGGACTTTGCATCTTGGAAACCTGTTACAAACAACTAAGAAATGTGACTTGAGTATTAATGAATATGTGCTTAAGATGAAAGAACTAGGAGATGAATTAGTGGATAGTGGTGTTAATCTTGGAGATGAGGAGTAGCTGTTATATACTCTGGATGGCTTAGGACCAAAATATGATGCAGTAGTCGCGAGTTTGACTTACAACAGTAGCACTGCTAGCATTCAAGAAGCTCAATTCATGCTGCGTACATACAACAGATTATTAGTTTCTTACGAAAGAAAATATATATTTTCAAAGCAATCGAGTTTATTGACTAACCTAGAGGAAGTCTAGAATTATGGGATTCATTTATCAATTATATTTTGTTTTCACATCATAAAAATGTATCTATATCATGAATTATATAGATATCTGCAATAGAGAAGAGAGAACTAATAGGAACAATACTATATCAGTAACTGAAACAAACAAATTGGGTGGAGNAAACCTGGAAGAGTTTCTGCTCTGCATGGACTGCATGGGAGTACTTCTCTTCTTAGTAGCTTAAGATATATTGTAATTTAATATTAATCCTTTGTTTAATGGCTCAGCTTTTGTAATGATGCAGTTTGCCTTTTTGTGTGGCTTAGCTGAGATTAAGGAAAAGTAGTCTGCTGGTTGTTGAAACAGTAATTGAAGTATGTTATATGCAGTTTTTGTCTAATGAAAAGTATGTCTAGATTTTAGTTTTTCATCTCTCTTCTTCTTTGAATAACCAGCATCACAAAAACGAACAGAAACATATTTAACTGGATTTGACAATATGTTTCTCTAATTGCTATCCATCCAGAACTTTTTCTGGAGATCTTCCACCACTTTCTTGTCCACCTGGAAAGCTTTAGCGAGAAAACCAGGATTAATGGCAGGATCTGATCCAAATACTGCATTTGCGATGGTAATTACACCAGGGTTCTGGCTGCTTAAACCAGCAAAAGCAATCGCATTTGTTTTTCCAATATTGAATTGGAAGTGAATGAGACCAATGGGAAACACAAACACATCACCCTTGTTAAGAACTTTGCTGATAAGTGTGTTGTTTGGATTGGAAGTAACGAAACCAACAAGAAGAGTACCCTCCAGGACTACAAGAATCTCAGTGGCACGAGGGTGAGTGTGAGGTGGGTTTTGGCCATAAGGAGCAAAGTCAATACGGGCAGCTGAAATGCCAAGAGTGTTAAGTCCTGGAATTTTATGGACATTCACAGCGCTAACATTTGAACCAACTGGATTGTTTGTGTCTCCAGGCATCTTAACTGAAAAGTAGAAGTCTCCAGCTTTGGCGAGCTTGGGGTCCTTGCAGAACTTCCCATTCACAAACACTGCATCAAACAATCAAATCAGTAAGAATTAGCCTATATTTACATATTGGACATGAGTTGGATTGTTTGTATTAATATACAGAAAGAGAATTGAGTAAACATATACCAGCGTTCTTTGGCTCATCTATGGCTACACAGAAGTCCTGAAGAGGACTAGGATCAAATGCGGCGGCCAATGAGGAAGCCAAGGCAAAGAGGACAAAAGCCAGAAGGAAACTTTTCATTGTGATTAGGCTAGTTAGCTACGAACTCAATTCTTCAACGATAAATATTGCTTGGTGAGTGGTGAGAAATGCTGCAAGGCCAGCTAATGTATTTATATACGAAATCCATTGAACTGGTCATCATTGTTTCCCCTGCTCCAAAGCAGATGAGGAGACTTCCAAATTAGATTCATTCTTTATTAACTCAAAACACAATTTCAAATGTTGCTTGAGTAAAATTGTTCTTCACTGCTTGAATCAGTCCCAGTTTGATACAAGGACATGGTCCTCTATCTTCTGTAACATAATCTAGAAGAATGAACGAAGTCCACACTGATATTTGTTGATGAAAATTCTGACACAACACTGAACAAAAAACAGTTACATCATAAATTAATGTCTCTTATATATTACATAGTATGTTATTTCATAAATTTCAAGTTATATTTAGGCTCACATATTCTCTATTGAATATCATACTTTCTATTGGAAGGTTATTCGGCTGCCATGTGCTTCACTTTGGAAATTATTATTTACTCCATGCCAACTTAGTAGCATTTGCTAAGCCATGATTTTTACCGGGAGAGAGAGAATCACAAAATATATAATTAACTTCTAAATACAAAATAAATGTCTATTTAAATTTTATTTATTTTTTAATCCGTGAAGATCTTATAAAACGATTCTAGAGGTTAGAATATTCGCAAGAACTATTGATCCAATATTGATAACAATGCACTGCCCCTTCGACTTTAAAAAATAAACAAAATCTAACCATGAAGAAACTAAAACTGGGTGACACATTTTATAGTTATACTAATATAATAATAGTTCTAGATATAGCCATATAGGCAGAATTGCCATCAGGTCACACCGAATCTGGTCTACATTGACTCTTAGGTTTTCTTTTCAGAGACAGAGAGTCTTTTTATGTATTTCATTGTTCAATTACAATTTGAAAATGTCTAAACATGAAAATTATATTTTTCTGATTAGTTCAACAATTGGAGAGACTTGATTTTAAGGTTATTAAACATTTTTACTTTGTCTTAGAGATATAATCTCACAATATTTGAACATATTGAAATTCATAAGGTCCGTTAGTCCCCATATAATTTAAACTCAGTCATACAAGATAGATGTTGAGCGGGTATAATTGGGAAAAAAAAATATAGAGAAATCATTTTGGTCTATGCGAGCAGTTGGAAACAGGAAAACTTATTATTAATTGCAAATGTGACTTCCAAATTAGATTCATTCTTTATTAACAGAAAACACAGTTTCAAATGTTGCTTGAGTAAAATTGTTCTTCACTGCTTGAATCAGTCCCAGTTTGATACAAGGACATGGTCCTCTATCTTCTACAACATAATCTAGAAGAATGAACGAAGTCCACAATGATATTTGTTGATGAAAATTCTGACACAGCACTGAACAAAAAACAGTTACATCATAAATTAATGTCTCCTATATATTACATAGTATGTTATTTCATAAATTTCAAGTTTTAGTATATCCCTTAATATTCATATAATTAATTTAATTACTTAGGGGTTTTTATCATTTGAGTGAATGCTTGCTAGATTAACGATATTTAGCCTCACATATTCGGTATTGAATATCGTACTTTCTATTGGAAGGTTATTCAGCTGCCATGTGCTTCACTTTAAAAATTATTATTTAATCTATGCCAACTTAGTAGCCTTTGCTAAGCCATGATTTTTACTGGGAGAGAGAGAGAATGACAAAATATATAATTAACTTCTAAATACAAAATAAATTTCTATTTAAATTTTATTCATTTTTTAATCCCTGAAGATCTTGTAAAACGGTTATAGAGGTTAGAATATTCACAAGAACTATTGATCCAATATTGATAAAAAATGCACTGCCCTTTCGAGTTTAATAAATAAATAAAATCTAACCATGAAGAAACTAAAATTGGGTGACACGTTATAGAATACTAAGAGTAAATGACATGTTCCCACTCAAAGATTAGTGAATTCCAAGTTCCTTACCCTAGTTTCATTTATTTCAGATCACCCTTACATTTCCATAAAATCATTTAATTAATGCTGCAATCAAAGGGTAAAGTGGTCATTTGAACTGCATTAAAATCTGAAATGAAAATAAAAATTTCAAAATAACCCTTTATATCTCAAATTTCTCTCACAAGCACCCCTCATTATTCCCCTCCTTCACAGCTGCCGGAAAAATCCAGATCTAGTTGGATTTCGACACCATTGGACATCATCGCCACCACTACTAGCTTCCCCCACTCATCCCCAACAAAACCCCTCCACCCCCCAACCTCGTCTACCTCTATTTTGGCTAGATCTAAGCCTTTTCTCCGCGTTTTTCTTCTCCATTGCGACTGTCGGAAAAATCCAAATCTATTTGGCGGTTAAAAAGTGATTTATTAATTTATTGGTAATAGCAATTGGGTAATAACACTCTCTATATCGTGTAAGAACCCAAAACTCATTAACAGTGTTAATTTAAGGGTAGAAATCTAGAATAAATGAAACCATGGGTGGGAATTTGGATTTTCACTAGTCTTTGGGTGGGAACATGTCGTTTACTCTTATACTAATATAATAAAGGGGCGTTTGGTTGGGGGTTATGTGAGATTACTGGGGTTATGTCATCTTATATTACTTGATTACCACGTTTGATTGTCAAGTAATATAAGATTCTGATAATCTTCAAATATCAATAGTAGTTATTGTTGGTAATATTGAAAGTAATCTGATTACCTCTATTTTTTTAGATATTGTAAGATTACCAAGGTAATCTTTTTTTTGTTACAATTCTATCCCCTATTAAAAAAAATTTAGGACAATAATACCCTTATTTTTAAATTAATTTACATGAATATGGCTATTTCACCTCAATTAATTAAATTTTTGGACAAAATTACCCTTGAATTCAAAACAAATTGCAGCCCACCTAAGCCACAACCCCCACCCACTTGCTGCCGCTAGCGGTGAGCACTGCCGCCAGAACGGCGTACGGAAGGTAGGAAATGGCCGTCGTGCGCCAATCTGGCCATTATGGCCAAAGATCTGGCCAGAAATGGTCATACGGTGCACGGAGGCCATTTCCTGCCTTCTGTACGCCGTTAGGTTGTCAGCAGCCGACAGCCGGCAGTGGCTGGGTTGGTGGGGGTGCTTTGTTGATTTTTCAAACTTTTATTATAGGGTTGTTTTTGCTATGTTTTTAAATGTAGGGGGTTGTAATAATCCAAATAATAATCTAAATGACAATATTAAATAATAATATAATAATAATATTTAATTAGAGGATAATTCAGTAATTTAAATAACATACCCACCAATTTATTCCAACTAACCAAACACATTTTCTTAAAGATTCTCAATAATCTTCAAGGTAATCTAACTTTCCAGTAATCCAACATTCCCTGAACCAAACATACCCTAATCTAGTCTACATTGATTGTTAGGTTTTCTTTTCAGAGACACAAAGTCGTTATATTTATTTCATTGTTCAATTACAATTTGAAAATGTCAAACATGAAAATTATATTTTTCTCATTAGTTCAACAATTGGAGAGACTTAATTTTAAGGCTATTAAACATTTTTTACTTTTTCTTTAGGATACAATCTCACAATATTTGAACATATTGAAATTCATAAGGTCGGTTAGTTCCCATATAATGTAAACTCAGTCATACAAGATAGATGTTGAGCAGGTATAATTGGAAAAAAAAAATATATATATAGAGAAATCATTTTGGTCTATGCGAGTAGTTGGAAACAGGAAAACTTATCATTAGCTGCAAATGTAAAAGAGTTGGATTAGGTTCTTAATTGTACATCCAGATTTTTTCGTTATGGAATAAATACAAAATTGAAATTGAAACTTTATTAACTTGGTAAAATAATTAACCCTTTGGACTTTGGTAATATTAGAAGACTATCAGACATATGCCATTACTTAACAAGACATCCATGCATTGAAGCCTTATGATTTTTTGAAAATGAATTAATGCATGCATTAATCAAACCACTTTGTCAGACAAATTCTGAACTTCTGATTCTCTATCAAAATGTATTTGAACCAAAATATGCTATTGTTTGTTATATATGATTCAAACATAATTAATCTTATCAAAAGCATAACAAAAAAAAAAAAAAAAAAAATTCTTGATTATTAATTTTTTGTGTAGTTTGTAAGAATTGTATCCAAAATTGTTTATGAAAACTCATGACTATAATTTTTAAATTCATTACATTTTTTTTTTTTCTCGATGAGAAAGAAATTAACATATTTGCATTACAGATCAAACAAGTCTTTAAATGATGATGAGATTGAAATGAAAAAAAAAAAAATGTCTCATGACCTAAGTAATTAGAATTTTAAATAGCAATTGTAGACGGTAAAATTTACGGTTGACCGGAACGAGAATGATCTTATAAGGATGAGGCCACTAACAATCGCGTAGACCTGCAAGGACAAAGAAAGTGAACATGAAGGCTCAGGGGACATTGGTGTGGTGTCTGCCTTAGGCACTCCAACGCTTAAGTCAGCACGGTTGAAGGAAATATATAATTAGGGCTGAGAGCGGGAAAGGTTTTACTAGGAGTGTTTGCTAGGGCAAGACTATCAGTGTAAAGTGGTCGGAGCATGGCCTTACGTCAACTACGAGAAGTACAGTTAACAAGAACTAAACTTTTACAGCGGGGAAAGACAGCTATTCTTAAGAGCAAGAATTTAGGAGCTAAAGAGGGGTTGTATGTGAATTAATAATGAGAGGGTTGACCTCTGTTGATATAGTGAGTCAAGGAAGCTTGAGTCTTTGTAGAACTAGGCATTCTCATAATAGGAGTTTGATTAAATAGGAAACTCTTAGTGCTAATCCATGTAGAAGTAGAAATACTAGTTCATGTGAGATTAGATCTTGGACGAACTAGGAAGTAAGTCAAACTTTGAGTCCTATTTTGGAATGAATATGGGCTAATGGGCTAGAGCCTGATTTGTCTTAACTTGTAGAAAGGCCCAA